AAGGTGTTTTTCCCATTCCTGGGATCAAAAGATAAATCTCAGTGGAGAGGACATGCAGGCTGGTCCCCGAGAGGGTCTGTCAGTTGGGAGCGTGGTTTTCTCCTGCGTCCATGAGCTGCATTTCAGAGGTTCAGGAGGAGCACGGTTGGGGCACGCAGCAGAGATGCTGCACTTTGCCACGTGAGCCAGGATGTGGCAGAGGGGCACCGTAGGCATGTGGCATCCCCACGGCTGTTGGGAGCGCAGTGGAGAGGAGGAGGAAAAACTAAAAGTCTTTCCTCAAGCAAATTCCTATTTGTGATAGTGACGAGCGCACTTGAAACTGGACTTAGCAGAGGGTGGTTTGTGTTGGGAATGTGGCTGAGCAAGGAGTGCTGCTGGGAACTGCTGGGACATGTTGGGCTCAGGGACGCTTGGTCCGCACGGCGTTTCATTTGACTGAGTTAAGGACTTGGTGTCTGGGTTTGTGAAACTTGTTAAGGTTTCTAAAATATTCACTCCCAACGCGAACCAAACCCCTGAATCTTCTGGTCTGGGAGCCAGCTGGAACGCAGGGTACGCAGTGTGGTTGAGCAGGACGTGGTGAGGTCAGGTTCAGGTGGTTGTTACAGGGCAGATACTTCAGCCTTTTAGAACGAGGCAGCTGTTTGTAATGAAATTAATGACATGTGGGGAGAAGGAGAGCGTGATCCAGATGAAGGTGGTGGGCTCTGATGTGTACCTTCATCTTCTAAGGCTGTAGGGCCATGGATGTGGCAATGTCCTGCTCTGATGGGTCCCAGAGAGGAACATGAGTCTTGTGTGCCCAGAGAGGCCCTCGGTGGCAGCCGAGGTCCCCTGTGCCCTCACCAGAAGCCCTCCCTGGGACCCTCAAGGCTTTCTGTGTATCACAGGGAAGCATACCAGTTAAACTGAATGTTGATTAAAAGAATGGGAATTGCGTTCTCCTGCACTTTGGTACCCTGTGTAGACCTGTGCCTGCGAGTGGCAGATGGTTGGTTGGCCGTAGTCCACAACACAGACCTGCTTTGGCATGGCTGGAAACCAGCTCCTTCACCAGCATCTGCCTTGCTTTGGTAGCTGTGCCAGGCCAGCTCAACCCGTTCAGCTCTCCGAGAGAAAAGAAAGAGGCACAAGCAGTGGCCCACTGGTGCCTTACGGGTGAAGGAGGAAGATGTCTGGAGCTGCTGGGACGCTGCGGGGTAACAGCATGGCCATTACCCACCTGCTTTATAAACCTGCACCGCGGAGCGGGGCCGCTTGGCCCCGCCAGCCTGTGCCCGCACAAAACCGCACGTACGGCGGGCACCACGCAGGTTTGAGCCCTTTTTTTTAGGGAAAAGGGAGCTGTGTATGGCTGACGGAGCCGGGCCCTGGCTCCGGGTCCGTGGTAACTCCCACCCTTTTATTTCTCGACGCCGTTTGCACGTGCCCATGTGTCACCCGTTCTCCTCTCGCCCGCAGGTGGCTGCCCCGCGGAGCGAGAAGCGCGGCGCCTCGTACCTGGGCTCCTGCCCGGACCCCGGCCCCGGGGAGCTCCTGGGCCAGCAGCCGCAGGGCTCCGTGGCCCGGTACGCGGAATCCTCCCTGAAAAAGAAGCGCGTTTACTGAGACCCCAACCGTCACTCCTGCCTCAGGGGCCAAGGCGGGATTTTTTTTGTACCTCTGCTATTTATTGCTGCCTTAACTTCAGACAAATAATCCTTCTTTCTGTGTGGGTTCCAAGTTTCCCAAGAGGAACAACCTCTGTAACGCGCAGGTTTGCCGAGGAAACGGTACGTATTGCTCCGAGGGTGGCCATCCCGCGGAGTCGCCTTCTGGAAGCGCGGGCTGGTGTTCCCTGCCGCTGAAGGGAACAGTGGGCTGAGGCTGGCAAAGCAAAAAGTCATTTTTATTTGGTGAGTTTTGGTGGCTCACCAGCCGAAAGCAATAAAAATGCCGAGGAGGGAACACGGATCCTTTCTCTAGTCCTCAGACGGACGAAGTTAAAAGATGAAGTTGTGATAGTAATTTTTTCTTTTTTTTTTTTTTTTAAACTCAGAATGTGAGGGTTTTTTCAATCTTACTTTTTCCCCAGGATTAAGAGTTCTGCATTTACAGCCTTTATATTTTTAATATTTCCTCTTAATCCTGGAACGGAGATATACCAAATGTATTCCCAGAGCCTCTGTGACCTTTTTTTCAATAAATGTTTGTTAAAAGTGAGATGCTATACTGTGTGCTGTAAATTCCATTCGGATAGGCGATACTCGGACAATGGAATAACCTTTATCTGCTTCTAGGCCAAGAATCCACAGCTTTTCCTTGGAATAAGTAATTTCCAGTTTGTGAATGCCTCTGTGTAAAACAGTGTACGTACTCCTTCCCCTGGGCACACGTTCCAGCACGGCAGGTGATGGGGTGTTGTGAAAGTGGAAGACTTTCTGGCCACTTCTGAATCTGGATGATTCAGAGTTAGAGCAGAAGCACGACTGCCGTGCTCCTTGGATGTCAGCTTTATTCCTGCCTTCCCCTCTTCTCTGTATTTTTTTCTAAGTATCTTCACTTTTGATATCTGCTGCACTCCAAAGCGTGCTCGAGCGGAGCAGCCTGGCGCTTTTTTTAACTCCTCCTTACATACTACCTGTTGCATGAAGTAGTTCTCAGTGGAAGGAGGAGGTATTTACTCACTCTCCTCTCCCACGTGTATGGTCCGGGCTCACCCCCACGCACTGTCGGCGTGGCACGGACCAGCTGCCTCTGCCCATGGCCCAGCCCAGCTCCCTGCAGATGCTGTATCCCAGCTGGATTGTATTTCTGATTTCTTTTTTTTTAAAAAAAGGCTGTATAGTTTTAGCTTATTTAAAGCAACTCTGGCTAGAGTCTTCTGCTGCTGAGCTTTGTAGCGGAAGACTCAGAAATCAGTACTGTTGAAATCAGTGTTTCTGGCAGATAAATCATCAGCCAGTGCGGGTTTGCTGCCTCGGAATCCTGGTGCCAAGTCATTTGGACTGAAGTCACGGAGCGTGGAGGCCACATCCTTCTTTCTTAATCTTGCCAGATAACACCGAAGCCATTTTTCAATCCGATTTATTAAAAAAAAATAAAATCTTAAACTCTGCCTTTCAAGCTTTGTGATATTTTCAAAGCTTAAAAAAAAACCAAAACCAACCCAAACCACAATCCCAATCCCTGCTTACGGCAGCCCAACAGCAAGGCAGGTTCTGGGAGCTCTTCTGGGATCCCACGTGTACGTACTGATAAATTCTCGTGTAATATTTTGTTCCCTCTGTTTGTATATGCAACTTTCTCAACTCATTACACTTTTCCATGAAAATAAAGTGTTGGTACACCTTTAAAGTGGGTTTCTGGGAGAGGAAAACTTCTCTGGACTAGCTTTGAAGTAATCCTTTAATGTAGAGAAAGGTTGTTTTGGAGACCACGTGCTCTGATCACCGTTCCTAGGGAAGTTACATTTAAAAATCTTTCTCTGTTTAACATACGATTAAAAAAAAGATACACACATGGAGAAAAAAAACCAACATCTTTATTAGATTCGTTTATATAAAGAGTAACAAAGTGCTTACAGATTTAAATCAGGTTTGTAAGTGACATACAGAAAAACAGGTAATACTGTAAAAATAAATCTGACCTCATCGCAGCTCATAATTACAATTTTCTTTATATATATATTTAAAGACATCTTTCTGTTATTGCCAGAACTATCTCCTCAAAGCATTTTCAGAATCCAGGTGTGGTGGGAAAACATCATCACCCAAGTTCCAGGAAACAGGTCAGCAAAAGGTTTCCAGTTAAAGCCCTGTTTAGCAGAGCCTGACCGGTTTACAGGAGTGCAGGGCCCTCGCTGGACTTGCGTCCAGTTGAAATGCAAAAACTGGTCCCAGTCTGGCCCCACCGGCTTTCCCTTCGGTTAAGGGCACGTACTGCGCCACGAGCGCGGGGTTTGGGTCGGTGAGTCCCAGGAAATAAAGGACTGTGGTTTAAGGAACCATCACGATGGCTTTGGAGAACAACTGCTGAAATGAATTCATTCACACGCCGGCCAAAGACATCATCGACCCAAAAAACGAGCGTGGCACCGCTGGGCGCCCTCCTCTCCGAGGGACGCTGCCCGGCTGCTCAGCGACTTAGGTGATTCCTAGGTCATTAATTACTCTTTGTTAGAGGAGCACCCCCCCACATTCCGTACACGGATCCATTTTCTGTTCCATCCCCAAAGTGTGTAATTGGTTTCCTCGGCCTGTTTCACCGCGCTGTGGCTCACCTGCCCTACAGGTGGCAAAGCCTGGGCTTGGCACGGGGGAGAGCTGCAGGAACGGGGGCAGCTTCAGTGGGCAGAAACGACGTGGGAGGGGAGGGCTGAGTTAGGAAAGCAAGTACGTTTATCCAGAAACTGGGTTTCTCAAAAAAATGCATAACGACACGTGCTGATCCGTGCTTTTTTGGTGGTTGGTTTTGGTATTTTGGAACACCACCATCAAGCAATTCTTTTTTTTTTTGATCTATATGTAAAAGCTCAGAACTGCAGACTGGTTAAGACGAGCTGATTATTTTATTCTCTGGATTTTTATGCCAGAGTTGGGTTTTTTTGTTACTAAAATTTAAGTGCACACGTAGGATACTTGTCAGCCAAACTTTTCCTTCAAACGTCCTCAAAACCCCACAAAAAGGATTAAATTACTGTATCAAGGCCTCTGCTGTCCACTGGTTGAGTTACTCAAGGAATAAGCGGGCACAGCGGACTGGTTTTCAATGGTGCAGGTTGCACCCGGAACCACAGCAGGGTTTTACCTCTGTCTTTCAGTTCACGTTCATCAGGGTGGTTCAAATTGTGAAAAATCAGATAAAGATAAAACTGCCTTGCAATAACAGCAGCAAAAGGAGTTGAAGCTATTGTTTCTGCCATACCTTTTACTTAATTTGATCCAACTGTTGACTAAAATTAAAAAGGAAAACTGTTGGAAAAAGAATCCTTTAAACACATTAGCACAGTCAGAGTACAAATTACAGTAGTTAAAAAAAAAACAAAACAATAAACAAAAGGTCCTGGACATTTATATTTTGACACACATTTAAAGTACTTACAGTATAAAAAAAAATAATTACATTTTACTCATAATTGTTTCAAATCCTTGAATGAGATTGTGAAAGGTTGTCCGTTCATCGTGCTTGAATATCCAGCACTTCCTCATCAGCTGGTCCACCTGACAACAAAAACAGAGAAATTTTTCAAGGCTGCGTGAAGCGTTTCATTTGTTTTTCCAGTAAATACAACGGAGCAGATTCCCACTGTGGCGAAATGACAGGAACGTGCCTCAGATTTGGATCAGAATTAGCAAGTGGCTGTTTCCAGAGGTGGTTTTGTTGAAGTAGAGGTGGGTGTTTGCCTGACAGGCAAACCGTTGATGCAGCAGGAGTGCAGACAGCTTCCAACAGTGCAACAGCTTCCTCACAGCTTCAGCAGTGCGAGTGTTACCCTGTACCTCTCAGTCTACTGGTTAAATCAGTAATTACTGGTTTAATTACTGGTTGGTACCCACTGGGTAAGAGCCAGGCATCCACAGCCTCCTTCACACCTACGTGCCAGCCTGGTTCAGGTGCCCGGAGCCTGCGAGAGCGTGGGACAGGCAGCTCCTCCTGAGCTCTGCTCTGCCCTTCCCTTTCCTCTGCTCTGCCCTTCCCTCTGCTCCGGCAGAGGCTACGGATCCACAGCCCATCCCCAGGGCAGAGCTTGGCCACCTCTCGGCTCCTCCAAGGGCAGGAGAGGACAGGCTGTGCGTGGGGGGTCTCCTAACGGAGACCCTGCTGAGGTGCTCCTCCATCTGGGTTGCTGCACACCCAGGAAGTCTGTATGTCAAAGATCAGAAGGATTCTGAATTAATGTCACACGGATGCGGACACTAAAGCCAAGTTCTTAACCCCTGTGAAGGGACGTCACAAACTTGGGAATGTCAACGCCAAAAAACATTTTAAAATAACACTTAAAAAACTTGGGAATGCCTTTCTGATGGCGTACCGGATGGTCTTCCTACCAAGATTAGCCAGGCCTGTGCAACCACGAGCGCGTGGTGCTTTTGCTGCTCGTTGGGTGCCGAAGGAAGGACATGGTTCCCGAAGTGCAGGAGCATCCCTTACCTCCTCCGGGCAGCTGGGTGGACGTGGCAAACGCTTTTCTTCTTGCAAGACGCGCACCAGCCGCGCTACCGTCATCTGTCCCTGCGTGGGGCCGATCATTTTCAAGAACTCCTGCGAAGAGAGGAGGAGTCAGCTGCGCATCCTCTTGCCCTGCTCAAATCCAGGCCCTTTCGCTTTGACATGGAGATGGAGCTTTAAGCTGGGGAGGGACTTTTTACAAGGGCATTTAGTGACAGGACAAGGGGCAATGGCTTTAAACTGAAAGAGGGCAGATTTAGACTGGATAGAAGGAAGAAATTTTTCCCTCTGAGGGTGGTGAGGCACTGGCACAGGTTGCCCAGAGAAGCTGTGGCTGGCCCCACCCCGGAAAGGGTTCAGGCTTTGGGCAACCTGGTGTAGTGGAGGGTGTCCCTGCCCATGGCAGGGGGGTTGGAACTGGATGATCTTTGAGGTCCCTTCCAACCCAAACCATTCTGTGACATTTTGATCTCAAAACGAACACCAGGTGCGCATCGCACAGGTACTCTGTGCACCACGGGCGGTAGAAAACTGGTGGGAACGTTTATAAATACAGTTTCCTCACCAGGACACAGTCGTCACAGCTTCTCTCTGTACAGGGTCTCCAGTGAAAGACAACCACAAGGGTTGTTTTCGTAAGATAGATTGATTCCACTTCTTGTTTCCAAAAATCATGGTTTTTTTTTAAACCGATCTGATTTAAGCAGCTTTAGCAGCAATTTCTTAAACAACCACTTACTGCCATGGGACTGGACTCCGAGTCACAGTAGGTGAGGAGTTCGTAGAGCGTCACCCCGAATGACCAGACATCGGAGGCGATGTAGAACTTACTCTGGAGCAGACACTCCGGAGCGTACCTGCGGACACAACGCGACAGCGTCACACCTCCCTCGGTACCGCACCGATCCGCTCAGCCTGGAGAAGAGAAGGCTCCGGGGTGACCTTATAGCAGCTTTCCAGTACCTAAAGGGGCTACAGGAAAGCTGGAGAGGGGCTTTGGACAAGGGCGTGTAGTGATAGGACACGGGGCAATGGCTTTAAACTGAAAGAGGGGAGATTTAGGTTAGATATAAGAAAGAAATTTTTCACTCTGAGAGTGGTGAGACACTGGAACAGGTTGCCCAGAGAAGCTGTGGCTGCCCCATCCCTGGAATTGTTCAAGGCCAGGTTGGATGAGGCTTTGGGCAACCTGGTGTAGTGGAGGGTGTCCCTGCCCATGGCAGGGGGGTTGGAACTGGATGATCTTTAAGGTCCCTTCCAACCCAAACCATTCTGTGATTCTATGACCTGCATGACCCGCACGTGTTTCAGCAAACTAAGGAGGCACGTTCTGGATTTATAGGGTCCTTGCACATAAATCAAGGTGCCCACAGGGCTTGAGATGCCACAGAAGTAGTAAATATGATACAACGTGGTTACACAGCAAGTCACTGTGAAACTAAAGGAGACCAAAACCAAAAACAAGATCGTGGGAAAACGGATCATGAAGTGCAGGAAGAAATAAACAGCACAAGAGTAGATAACAATAGTCTACCAGGTGCCTTTTCCTTGCTCTGATGTTGTACCTTGATTTAGGCCTCTTGTCAAAACAGGAAAAGTCTTCAGGACAGCTAAAAGCCTGAGTCTACGGGAGCAGAAAAGTTACTCTACTGCACAGTCTGGTTAAAGAAAATAAGCTGTAAGTTACTACCAGAACACAGGGCTGTCAAGGTCATCTTTGACAGTGTAGTACTCCTTGTCGGTCTCGATGGCTTTGGTGAGACCAAAGTCTCCAATCTTCACTCTGTTCTCGCTTTCAACGAGGACGTTTCTTGCTGCCAGGTCACGGTGCACGTACTGACAGGAGCCCAGGTAGTCCATTCCCTAAAAGAGAAGAAAGCCCTTTATGCTGGTTTCTCCAGTACTTTAATCACTGCTTTCCTCCACCGTGCCCTTCAAATGTTCCCTTGTTCACATGGCAATACTCTATCCAGGCTTCCCGTGGCAGATTCTCCATCTGTTGGCATTTTCCAGGGTCCTTTTTTGGTCTGACACGCACCCCCCTTAAACTTGGCCTTTGGGTTCCTCATCTGTTGAGACACTTGTTTCTGCTTTGTGCTTTTTCATTTTCAGCTGAGCAGCCACCGTCTTCAGACCCTTCTCTCCACAGCAGCAGTTCCTTTGTGTGCTGCTAAAACTGATGGTTTTAACTCCTAAAACTGATAGTTTTAACCCTCACAACTGCCCAGTGCACCATAATCTTTACAAAACCAGAGTCTCTCGCAGTAACCACATTGCTTCACATGGCCTGACTGCGCTTGGATCTCTTCCTCACTTTAGACTCACAAGTTTCTCCTTCCCTCTTGCCCACACACACCTTCTAAATGCTGCCCTCCCTCCTAATACTTCCAATTCTGCAGCAGGAACAACTTCTCACAGTAGACTTTTGCACGTGGGAATAATAAGATGACATTATTCCCCTGCTGATCTTTGTGCCAGCAGCACCTGAAGCACGGGGGAGACTGCTTTAGGATTCAGGTCCTTGGGGACAAAGCAAAGAGAATGGTTTGGTTCATCGAGAAAGCCCCCCCCGCCCCCTCTGCAATTAAATTAAATATCAAAGCAATCAAACAGAAGAGCTGCAGGAAGGCTTTGGTGCCAGGCTCACCTTGCAGATCTGAACTGCGTATCTCAGAAGTTGTTTGAGATTGATTTTGTTCTTGTTCCGTGGGAGATACTCCTTCAGGCTCCCCGAAGGAAGAAATTCCATGATGAGTTTAATCCCACTTCCTCCTAAAAACAGACCCTGTGTTTAATTTGCAGACACGTGACCCTTCTGACACCACGAACACCAATAACTTTTGCACAAGCCCACAGCACTGGTAGCACCCCGGCCATGGGCTGACTCCCATCATCCGTCACTGTTCCCATCCGGAGGAAAATCTATTGCAGGCAGGACAGTCACTGAACTTAAAGTTCTTAAACATTTTTAATATTGGCTTAAAGCAATCACTACTGCAAAAAGACACAACAATAAAGCTCTTCTCCATTAATAACGTTTGCTTCTGACAACAGCCTCTGGGTCTACGGGGTTATGGCGCAGCTGCAAGGGTCAGCTCGCTCCTGGAACACGGACACCCCCGGCCTCCCCAGTGCTCTTTTGGTTTTTATGGATTTGGAGAGAACCACCCACATTGCTCACATCCAGGTTAGCCAACCACAAAAATGGGCAGGAGGAAGACTCCACAGAGAAATTGCTGCATTTTCCACAAAGAAAGAAAGCTAAACCCGTAAGAGTGAACTAAGACTGGTTTGCTTTTTAAAATACTTAATTTTTAAAGGAAAATCCTTATACTTTTAGTGTAGACTTTTAATATTCCACATGAATATTTACCATCCTCTGTGCAAATTCCCTTATATTTGACAATGTTCTCATGATAGAGATTCCTCAAGATTTCTATTTCCTTCTTGAGGTCAGCGATGTGATTCCCTCCGCTCTCCGGCTTTAGAGATTTAACTGCCACTTGCTCCCCTGTGTTGTCGCCTTCTGGGTCGTATCTGCAGAGTTCGACTTTGCCGAAGTGGCCCTAATTGTGGGAGAAAAAGGGAGCCCCATTTAACCACTCGCTCACCACGGCGTCACCGAGGAACCGTTTCAAGCGTTTCCCGTTGACGTTTTCCCGCTGGGACACGGAAAGCACACGCCGCTGTGTACACACGCACGCACACCAGGAACACGGTTACCCGTGCTCCGTGTCTGACATTCCTCTTACCTCTCCCAAATCACGTATTCTTTTCAAGAATCGTTTCTCAAAGAGAGTGGGATCGACCTCTGTAACGGGCTTCTTCTCCGAGACGATATCGGGATCTAGGAGTGGGGAAAAAAAGCCCCAGGTCAGACAGGTTCCTGCACGGATATCTTGGTTGACCCCTCAAGGCATCCTTGCTCCCTTCCAGGCTGCCACTGTTAGAGCACGTCCGTCCCTACCGTCACAACTTTTCTGATTTAAATCCTGCCAGCTTTTTGACAGGGAATTCCTTCCCTTTGTACGTGCCAGTCCATCACTTGCTGATCTTCCTCCCTCACTTCATGGGTTGCTTGCTGGGTCTTCTTCCAGACTGATTCCGTTTTCTCTTGGTATACTTCCCCCCCTGAAGTAGTTACTCAGCTTCCTTGATTATTTATGACTAGGATTATTTATTACTCGGTATGGGATGTGATTGATGGTCTGTTAGTTGCCCTGAAGTAACTGCAACGTAAGATGAACCAGAAACCAGAGCCACCTGTGTTAATACTCTGCCTCGGCCAAGAGAGTCCTACGGAAATCTCACGGAGCCGAAAGATTGTCTTGAATCTAACTTGAGCTGTTGTATAAAACACGGACCATCGAATGGAACGGCAGCACCACCACCAAAACTTAAGCCACACATCCAGTAGGAATTGCACGCTCACATCCTATTTGCACCCATCTATGGAGAGGGTTAGTTCCCCTGTTGTAGGGACACAGCACGCCCCTGTCAATGCAACCGTGCACGTGGAAGAACGCTGCTGCGCGGTGCCCGGTTAGCCAAATAAACCAGCCTTCCTCACCCCTGATGAGCAGAACCAGGCCTTACTTTGCTCCTCCAGTTTGTTGATGTCTCTCATGATGGCTCTGAAGAAGGGTCTCTGATGGGGGTCGTAGTTCATGCACTGTTTCATCAGGTCAGCTAGTTCCTTGCACGACGGTGTTGCCAACACAAAATGCCCCTCGTAGAACCTCTCCTTCTGTGAGGCACAAATGGAAACTCTGCGTGAATTTTAGCTTTTAACTTAATAAACCCGCGTTCTACATCAGAAAATGAGCCTGTTAGATCCTTAACTCATTGTGAACTTCAACTTAACTTCATCAAGGAAATGCTCCTTTTCAGCAGTAACTCTAAATTAATCTCCTGCCAGTAGAAAATTATTATTGTGCCCAATCTGCTGTAGTTTGGAGCAACCACTTGTAACACATGAAGCTTCTAAAACGTGCCAAAGATTTCACCTTTCAGAAGTTCTCCTTCTGCCAGGTGCCAGGCTCCCCGTGTTACTCGTGCACCAGGACACACGGGTGAGCGAAAACTCTTGCCAAGCAAACAGCACAGTACTGGCTGCTCTTCCCAACCTCTGAGAAGGCACCAGCTTCGGGGCAGATGGGATGAGGGGGGAGCTTGTGCATTCTCTAAGCTCTGCAGAACCAGGCTGGATCAGCTCCTTATCAAGTCCAGCCAAGCTGGTTTTCCTCTAAGCTGAAAGCAACTCAAAACTGGGCATGGATACAGGAATGTCAAAGAGGATGTATCCGAGATGTCAAGGTAAAGCTCCCATAACATGGTTTTACCTCTGCTAACGTCTTGTCTTTCAGTGGTATTTCTCCATTATAGCAGATTTCCCACAGCGTTGTACCAAAACTCCACTTATCTGCTGCAACGCTTAAATTCTTGGAGTCTTCAACGCATTCAGGTGCAATCCAGGGGATCCGCTCAACGCATTCTTAGGTAAAACACAGGATCAGTGCATGTTGGAGTTAATGTCAAACGACTGAAGAAACAGGCTTCGACTTAATTACTCTCGTCTAGCAGCTGCTTGACTAAAATAAACTCAAGCTGCAGCATTTGTCTAGTTTCAGACAAATCTTTGATTCTCAAATCCCTGTTCTCAGAAGGACGTTTCTGTGGCTTTTCCAAGCTTGTGCCTTGAGCCATCCAGAAACTGAGATTCCTTCTGTATTATCTGACTAGACTTAACTTGACTTTTTAAGAGAACTGGATACAACAAGCACCCGCCGTCAGCAGCACTCCTTTACTTCCGTGTAGTTTCCACATTCACAGAAGCTGATTACTTCTATTCTGGAGCCAGATCTAAGCTGGTATAAATGGTAATTCTTCCTTTGCCCTTCCCCACCACACTGCAGAGAGAAATCTGATTCCTGTACCATACCTTGTCTGGACAGCACAGTTATTGGTATTCCTGGGTCGCTCAGCTTTATGAAAGGACCATATTCAGTGTCAATTCCCTCTCTTGCCAGTAGGATGTTTTTCGTACACACATTTCCATGCACCAAATCCTTATCCTCCTACAGTAAGGGAGGAAAAGAATAGTGAGTGCAGTGAGCTGGCAATGCTCTGCAAGTGCTCGAACACACCTACAGCACAGGGGATCACTGTAAAATACTCCCAAGCTGAAATCCAAAAATACAGCTTGGAAGAAATTATCCTATAGAAAAACAGAGAAAGGAGGAGTAGGGAAACATACTGCTCACGCTTAAGTGTTTGTGCTTGTAGAGCTGATGTATTTTGGAAAAAAGACCACTGTTACATTCCTTTTTCACAAAGAGCATACTTGCAGGCACAGAACGGAACTGGTGGCAAATGCCAGCACTGTTCTGCCTGCTGATAATAAAGGAGCTCATCACCTTCTCTGAGAGTCATTCTCTTTTTTTAAAGCAACATAATCCATACAACAATCCTATCACCGCATCACCCCGCTACCTGAGAAGGGAAATTCACTAGTTACTAATGCACAGGAAATCCCTGTCGCAGACTGCAGCAGCTCCAGGCAGTGCTTCTGTCAAGATGCCTTCTTACCAAGTAGCTTAGTGCGCTTGCAAGTTGCTTGGCAACTTTGAATTTCCAAGGAGTTGTCAGAACTTCGCTCCTCCGACGCATAAACAGATCCAGAGGCCCAAACTCAACAAACTCTTCAACCATGATATCTAAAAAGTCAAGTGCACAAAGTCAGTATTGCAATAACCAGTGTCTGGAGGAATCTGTTACCATCTCCCCGCCCCCCCCAGGCAACCTGCTTGTGATTTGTCTGTATTTCACCTTCCTTCAAGTTTTTTTCAGTGCTCAGAGTCCAATTTAAAAGGCTGAGAAGAGTGGCTTTATGTCCTAAACGAACAGCAAACCTGGAACCAAGCACTTCAAAGGGAAACTGCCACAGGGCAAAGCTTTCCCAGGGAAATAACTTCTGCCAGGAGGTTGGTTTGTATTGACACCACCACTACCACTCTGGCATTCCGACCTCAAGCAGTCAGCCTCTAAGGCACTTATTCCCATAAGGCACTTACTCAAAGACAGCATTAGAAGGGAATACTTGTTAGAGGAAAGGACTGCTGCCTTGCTGTTCCAATTCCACTTGTGTCTGCACTGAAAGCTCAAGAGGCAGCAGGTGCTAAACCCATCTGCCCCCCTGCCAGCGCTGAACTCCATGGCTGCACTGTCCCTCCCAAGCGTGCCGCCCAGAGAGACCTTCACCGAACTCACTTTCGACATCCCGGACACAGACTCCATGAAGGAGGACAATATGCTTGTGAGACACCTGCCTCATCATGCTCGCCGTTTCAAAGAAGGCCTGTTGGAAAGTGACAGAGGTCAGCCATTAAACTGCTGCTCATGGTGGCAGTCAACTGTTAACAAACACAGAGCATCAAGCAATAGAAACATTGGCAAAAGATCCAGTAACTGAAAGGGACGACAATCATAGAACCATAGAATGGTTTGGGTTGGAAGGGACCTCAAAGATCATCTCGTTCCAACCCCCCTGCCATGGGCAGGGACACCCTCCACGACACCAGGTTGCCCAAAGCCTCATCCAACCTGGCCTTGAACACTTCCAGGGATGGGGCAGCCACAACTTCTCTGGGCAACCTGTGCCAGTGCCTCGCCACCCCCAGAGGGAAGAATTTCTTCCTTATATCCAATCTAAATTGCCCCTCTTTCAGCTTAAAGCCATTGCCCCGTGTCCTGTCACTACATGCCCTTGTAAAAAGTCCCTCTCCAGCTTTCCTGTAGGCCCCCTTTAGGTACTGGGAGGCTGCAATACGATCACGCTGGAGCCTTCTCTTCTCCAGGCTGAACAGCCCCAACTCTCTCAGCCTGTCTCCAGAGCAGAAGTGCTCCAGCCCTCACATCATCTTCGTGGCCTCCTATGGACTTGTTCCAGCAGCTCCATGTCCTTCTTGTGTTGGGGATGGTAGGGATGTGCCATCCCACAGTAGTAACGGGGCAGTGGAGGGTTGTCACAGATGGGCTGTTGCTCACTAGGTCATGGAAGCAACCAA